TAGGTGGAAGACGCGGCGTATCCCAGAAGAAAGAAGAACTCAAGCAACGATTCGAACATTGTTTTCACGTCAATGAAGAGTACTTCAGATTCCGATTACTTCTTCATCCTGAATCACTTCGGGCTCAAAATGAAAAAAAGCGCTTAGCATTCCTCCCTTCTTGAGATGCGCCTCGCATTCGACTCCAAGTCAGAACTACTGAATGCAATTTGGCGTACACGGAGACAAGCTAGTGTTCTCACTCTCTCATACCACTGTGATCCAGTCTTGTTCGCTGCGAATGCTGGGGCCGTCAAGAGCTAGATCTGAACCCCGCCAACCCGTTCTCCATCACTTTGAAGCATGCAAGCGACAACGGGTTGGAAACGGGTTGGCGCCTCGCCAAACCGTGCCCCTCCCCCACACGCCTCAGCATCCGCAGCTATCAGAACTGTACCAGTCACCCTGCCCTCAAGATCGCGAATAAGTTGAACTGCAACTGACGCCACGCCCCTCCCCTTCTACCTCTTCTGTTTATGGATAGTTATCAATAATTTCGAAGTATTACAACATTAGCTGACTAATATTTATGATGAATATGGCTAACCATGTTGAAAAAATAAATTCACCTTGATCAAGCTTGCTAACAATCCACTGACAGTCACATCAGCATCAATAATATTTGGTGACGTCTTCGAGGTAAGAGCGTTCATATCGAATCCATTACCGAATGAACTCGAATAACTGTAATTCAATTAAACATCTTGAAAAAGACGGTCTGCAAAAAGACGAAGATGATACCGTACATATCGAGGATTCCTTTGCATAGCTGCAATATGCGGGCCGTCTACTCGAACACCAAGGAAGTCGCATTCAATGGTTGCTTGGCCGTATGGGACGCCTAAATTCAGTCGAGTTGATCACAATTCACACTTCTGATAATCGGATTAGGGAGAGGGCAGAAGGAAATTATAACCATTCGGAGTTGGGGCTCGGGGCAGACCCACTGAACGACGCGCTGAAGAAGGTGGGAAGGACCAATGATATCACACCCTGGCTCCGCTTATTCGTCAGTCCGAGCCTTTCAGCACTGGGTCTATACGTGAGACGGACAAGACAATCGTAAGTTGTCGCGTTCTCGCGCGCGACGCATCGTGCGGCGACGCGCAGCAAATTTCCAGTAAGCGCCAGTTTGTTGATCGGAGCAGCAAAACTCACATGATTTCAAGCGGAAACAGTACCCAGTGATAGGCGATATTGAATTTATCCTTCCCTGTGACAGTCAATTAGAAACGGCGCGGCGGGACAACTCGTCTTCCAGGCGCGGTAACGCTCGCCACGCCCATGGCATATTAGATTGTCACATATCCGTCTAACTCTACTACGCGTCAGGCAGCGTCCATACTCGGCGATGACGCGCGACGCGCTAATACTGTATAGCG